AGATAAAAATAAATTCAATATATATGAACACTACACAGATATAGATGCAGAGTTTAGGGTAACAGAACAAAGATATATACCTTTTTCGAATCTTCATGCCAACGAAAAAGAAATATAAAACCATAAACGAGTTCAGTAATGGGCTTGGAGAGATCATAAATTTCTTCAACCTGAACGCCTTTTACACCAAAATCCTCCAAAAGAAGGGTAAAAAGGCCAGGATCACTTTCTAACTCTAGCCATTCCTCTTGGACCATAATAATGTCAGCTAGAAAATGTAAGAAAAATGCAAAAATAAACTAAGATTAAATGAGCATCAAAATTTGCTGGACAGCTGGCTGAAGTAAATGATCAACAAATAAAGATAGCATGTAAGGCACAAATAAATGGGAAATAGTTAAAAGACTACCTCAATACAGGGTCACAAAATTAATTGTTAACAAAGTTCCTAGAAAAGTACTAAAGACTTTTTCTAAATCAAAATACTTAAAAGAATCAATGAACATAATAAAAAAGTAAAAGTACGAAAAATAAACTTTGATGCAACTGCGTATATGCTGAGAACACTCACCATTTACATAAATATATATCCTACTGTAAAGCTAAGTTAACACTGACGCAAAAAAGGCGGTTAAAACAAAAATAAGAGAACCAAAACAAAGCTATTGTCTATAAAGAGAAAAATGGTGATAAAATAGTTTTTAATTAAAATAAGTCTAGATTTATGATCTGAGTGTCTAATCCTATCACGAACAATGATCCCTATCTGTTCGATATACTTTTAATTTGGACTAAAGGAACTTTCTCTCTATCTAATAGAAAAATCAAAGAATATGGAAATCCAAGATCACAACCTTCTGTAGTAAATGCTCATATAGTTTAATTATCGACGTCGAAGCCTTAATATTAGTTGAATTTTAGCTTCGTAATTAGCATAATTTTTATAACACAATTTGTTGAATTGGCTCGAAACAATAATTTATATTTTCCTTATTTACTCTCAATTACATCGATTAACCTTACTTATATATGGTTTATGTATAAATCTGCATTTTTCTATATGTTCTATTTCCATCTTGATTACTCAGCGCTCGTAAACTTCTCATACAAAAATAAATCCAAATCTAACGATGTTTACCTTAATAAATTCGAAAGAACC